AAAAGATGCTAAAGCATTTTTATATGGATAAAGCATATCCATTGAGTACCCCGATGGTTGTGAGATCACTTGATATAAATAAAGATCCATTTCGACCTCATGAAAATGATGGAGAGCTTCTTGGTGATGAAACTCCATATCTTAGTGCAATTGGGGCACTAATGTATCTTGCAAATAATACTCGACCAGATATAACTTTTGCAGTAAGTTTATTAGCAAGATTTAGTTCCTTTCCAACAACAAGACATCGAAATGGTGTTAAGCATATTTTTAGATACATCCGAGGGACTATTGATGTGGGATTATTTTATTCTTATGAATCCGATTCACAGTTGATTGGTTATGCAGATGCAGGTTATTTTTCTGACCCACATAAAGCCCGATCTCAAACAGGCTATCTATTTACTAGTGGGGGTACAGCTATTTCATGGCGTTCAACAAAACAAACTTTAGCTGCTACAACTTCCAATCATGCAGAGATAATAGCTATTCATGAAGCTAGTCGAGAATGTGTATGGTTGAGATCAGTGACTCAATATATTCAACAATTGTGTGGTCTTTCTTTAAATATGAAGATTCCAACGATATTGTATGAAGACAATGCTACTTGCATAGCTCAACTTAAAGGAGGATACATCAAAGGATACAGAACAAAGCACATTTCACCAAAGTTCTTTTTCACACACGATCTTCAGCAAAATGGTGAGATAGATGTTCAACAAATCCATTCAAGTAACAATCTAGCAGATTTATTCACTAAGGCATTGCCAACATCAACATTTGAGAAGCTGAGACATAAGATTGGAATGCGTCGTCTCTGAGATATCAAATAAAGGTTTCATCAGGGGGAGTATAATACGTGTTGTACTCTTTTTCCCTTAACCAGGGTTTTGTCCCAATTGGGTTTTCCTGGTAAGGTTTTTAATGAGGCAGCACTCAATGCGTATTACAAGATATGTGTACTCTTTTTTCTTCACTAGGCTTTTTCCCACTGGGTTTTCCTAGTAAGGTTTTAACAAGGCACATTATCTTTTAGATGGACACCCAAGGAGGAGTGTTATGAATATGTTGAAGTGGATGTCCATTGAATACTCTTAGACATCCCTATTCCATGAACAATTTGAGTTCATGTACTTAGTTAATTCATCACTTAATATTTGTAACCTTTAGGTGTATTCTTGTAACTTTTCATGTATCTTATATCCTATAAATAGGGTATTCTTTATCCTACGAAGTACACAGAAGAAACACACTTGAATAAGATAACTTCTACATTCTCCTCATATACATCTTGTCTTCATTAGTATATTATTCTATTTTGCTCTCATTTCTTAATAAATTTCACTTTTAAGGCTCAAACTTGATATTTCTGATTAATTGGGAAGGATCCTAACCATCTCATTACACCATGATATATCAGTTATCACTCCATTATTTCTCATCCCTTCGTTTGTTTGCTATCCAAGGATGTATTGGCTAAGAATGTTTTTGAAGTATCAAATTTGAAAAATGAAGTAATATAATGAGAGAAAAGAAGTCAGGAAAAATGATTAATTAAAATTTAAAGGTCGGTAGCTCTGTTTTAAAAGGCAGAATTGGGACTCGCCTTGGGGCGGAGCACTCGTAAAACGCCCCTGGGCTTATATATGGGGCTTAGTTCCGTGAGACTTACGCCTCGGCCGTCGGGGCTTAGTCCCCTAACACGCCCAACACCCAACTCCCAACGTACTGGGCTTACCTAATAGAACATTATGTAATTGTGTGTAACTAACCTTGTAAATCCTCAAATTTCCTTAATAAAATCGTTGACTATTCAAAATTATATTTTTCTTAATCATAAATCATTAAGTTGAGAGTATTTTATCTCATAATTAAAATAAAAATTATTGCACGTTATCCACTAAGACTGCTATAATAGTAAATTTTAAATAAACTTTCATTTAAAAGTATTTATTTATTAACTTTTGTTATGTCTTTATTATATAATAGTCCATAATTCTTTTTATAATTATTTTCCTTAATTGTTTTTTACGTTTACGAGAAACAATACTTATTAGTTTAATAGCTCAGTATTAGCTAGTAACTAGTTATAAATAATTAGTTATCATGGTATAATATGGTGAATTATGTGTCACTTTATTAACTTGTTGAAACTTAAAAATAAATGATGCTAGAGAATCATATTTAAATTATTAATTATGTTTTTATATAAATTCTCTTTCAAATGGAAAGCATATTAAATAAAAGGAGTATTTTAAAAAAAGATATCAGATTATAATATTGAAGTTCTTTCGAGATTCATTACTCCTTAAGAGATGCATACATAAGATTTCGCATCGAATACATTACTTTTGATGTTTGAGTGGTAACGACGTTGCAGCTAATTTGTATATTGTGATATATGTCATACTTTTCATATTATTCATAGTTGAATTATAATTTATAACTATTTTAAATAGATTATTTGTTATAATTTTGTGATTTTAATGTAAATTTTATAATTATCTTTTTTTTATACGATCTTAAAATTCTTGAAATTAGTAAAATTTAAAGATCCGTGAGACTTACGCCACATGTCTCAGGGCTTACGCGCCGCCTCGTCAGAGGTAAAACGCCTCACCTCAGCCCCCGTCTTTTAAAATATTGGTCGGTAGCAAGAAACTTAAAACAGTTGGCCTGTCGTTGGTGTACATCAGTAATTATCACCAAAATCCACCGCAAATGAAACCTCATTTTGGCCTAGCGTTGAGCTAGGACTGTGCATTATTTGGGTCAAACTGAAAATCCGAACTGATCCGTATTATTCAGATTGGTTCGGATCAGATTTCAACTCTTTGAATCGGATTTCGGATTAAAGATTTAATTATTTTGGATATCGAATCGGATACGGTTTGGCTTAATTTAAATCTGAACCGATCCGAAATACGAAATATAGGGTCTACATATAAGAGTAAGGGTGCCATCAGATAAATCTAGGTTTCATTTATCTTATTTCTCTCATATTCTTTCATTAAGAGCACATATCGATAGAAATGAAGGCTCTCAACGGAGTCTAATGCTAGTTAAGAAGCTTGCAACAATACTTGATGTTGATTGTCTTGTGCAAAATGTTAAATTGAGGATTAATTCTGTGAATCTAAGTCAATTTACGAGATGAGAAGCTAGGGCTCATCTATGGCGAAAGAATATTCTGGAATCTAAAGAGGGAATAATGAAGAAGAAGATCTGTTTTCTCTCTCTTGCATTACAAAGATACAAGTCTGCAGACTTTATACAAATACCTTGGTGGAGTCACGTGCACATCATGTGCTGCTCACTAACCAATTCACTAACAGCCTTAACTAACTACACTAACAGTAATTAGCTAATATAACCGACTAACTAATCTTTACTCTGTTTTAATACTCCCCCTCAAGCTGGAGGGTGAAAGACATCGAACACTCCAAGCTTGGATAGAAGTGACTGGTGTTGTGTAGTTCCTAGAGCTTTGGTCAGTAAATCAGCAAGCTGGTCTTTTGTGTTGACATGTTCTGGCAATATCAGTCCACCTTTAATGGTGCCTCTCACAAAGTGACAATCAATTTCAATGTGCTTTGTCCGCTCATGATAGATGGGATTGGACACAATTTGTATGGCTACTTTACTATCGCACATCAGCTTCATAGGTTGAGAGACAATCACCCTTAATTCCTTCAGCAAACCTGTCAACCAAATCACCTCAGAAACTGATGCTGCCATGCTTCTATACTCAGCTTCTGCTGAACTTCTACTCACAGTGTGTTGTTTTTTTGATTTCCCATAAACAAATGAATCCCCCAGCTTCACAACATATACAGTGATAGATCTTCTAGTGTTTGGACATGATGCTTAATCACTAACATAAAATACAGTCAACTCTGTACATGGGTTGTTTCTTAGCAGAATACCTTGCCCTGGTGAGCCTTTGAGATACCTTACCAATCTGAGGGTTGCCTCCCAGTGCGAGGTCTTAGGTTTCTGCATAAATTAGCTAAGAACTTGCACAACAAAGCTGATATCCGGCCTAGTGATAGTAAGATATAGCAGCTTTCCAACTAGTTTTTGATAGGAAGTAATGTTAGTAAGCAAAGGATCATTGACACCTCCCACATGTTCATCATAGTCTACAGTAGTGAGCTTTGTGTTCACCTCTAGCGGTGTGTTAACTGGTTTAGCACCACTTAAACCAACATCTGAGATCAATTCAAGTGTGTACTTCCTTTGATTGAGAATATACCATCCTTAGATCTCAACACCTCAATTCCCAGAAAATACCTTAGCTCACCTAGGTCCTTTACTTTGAAATTTCTATGCAGTGTAAATTTGGCTTGCTCAATTAATCTTCCACTATTACCAGTGATCAGAAGATCATCCACATATACAAAGATAATGACAATTTCATCATTTTCTTTTCTGGTGAATAGAGAATGATCATAAGGACTTTGAAGATAACCTGTTTCTTGGAGAGCATCTGTGAGTTTTATGTTCTATTGCCTTGAAGCCTGCTTCAATCCATATAATGATTTGAGTAGTTTGCAGACTTTATACTCCCCCTGCCTCTGAAAACCTTGAGCCAGGTCCATATAAACATCCTCTTGCAAATCCCCTTGTAGAAATGCATTATTGACATCCATCTAGAATAGAGGCCAATTTTTCGAAGCTGCAACACTGATCAATGTTCTTACTGTCACCATCTTAGAAATAGGTGAGAAGGTTTCATGGTAGTCTAATCCTTCCTGTTGAGTGTAACCTTTTGTAACAAGCCTGGCTTTGTATTTGTCCACTTCTCCATTTGGCTTATACTTGACCTTATATACCCATTTTGAGCCTACAGTCTGCTTCCCATCAGGTAAGTCAACAAGCTCCCAAGTATGGTTTTGTTCTAAAGCATCAACCTTATATTGCATTGCTTCAATCCATCTCTGATTTTGAGATGTCTCCTTGAAGTTTCTTGGCTCTGTTGGGCTTGAAAACAAGCTCAACTATTTTTGATAGTCAGCAGATAAGTGATCATATCCCACATAATTTGCAATGGAGTATGAGCACTTAGCAGACCCTCTTTTAGTAGTGACATAATCTTTTAACCAAATGGGTGGTTTAGTAACTCGTTTGCCTCTGTCAATCTCTGTCATTTGTTCAGCTGAATGTTGTCTTTCTACTAGTTCCTCAGTGGAAATCTCTTCATTAGACACTGTTGGTTGACATTCATCCATTGTTTCTAATGAAGAATATGGTGCAATGTCATGTGTATCTGTCTGGTGATCTACAATGTCATGTGTGTGTGTGTGTTTAGTTTCTGTAGAATCACTTCCATCTTGGTATATTGGATCTGGTGACTGCTGTGGTGTAGAATCACTTCTATCTTGGTATATTCCATCATCTTCATTTTCAATTGGCATGGCTCTGAAAGGGAAAATTCTTTCCCTAAAACTGACATCCCTACCGATAAAAAAGGTTTTAGTGTCCAAGTCAAACAACTTGTACCCCTTTTGAGTCTCAGAATAGCCCATCAATATTGCCTTCCTTGTTCTAGGAGCTAGTTTATCAGATCTAGGTAAGTTGCTTGCAAAGCATAGACAGCCAAACACTCTCAAATGATCCATCACTGGTTCCTTCCCATATAGTGCCTCATATGGTGTTTTGCCTTCTAGTACTGGTATAGGCAACTTATTATTAGATAGACTGTTGTTTTAACACATTCACCCCAGAATCTGACTGGAATAGCACCTTGAATTTTCAATGCTCTTGTCGCTTCTAAAATATGTCTATGTTTTCTTTCTATTGTCCCATTCTGCTGTGGTGTATAAGCACAACTGCTTTGGTGAGTGATTCCAAGAGAAGTAAAGAGTTCATTACATTGAGAATTAAAGAATTCTGTGCCATTATCTGACCTTAATATTTTCACACATGCACCAAACTGATTTCTTATCATAGTCAAGAAATCCTTAACTACAAGTGACACTTCACATTTAGATTGAAGTAACAGATCCAAGTGTATCTACTATAGTTATCCACCACAGTAACAAAAAATTGCTTTCTATCAAAAGTAGGCCTCCTGTAAGGTCCCCACACATCTACATGTATCAATTGGAAAATACCACTAGTGCTACTCTTACTAACAGGAAATTTTAATCTCACTTGCTTTGCCATTTGGTATATTGTGCATTGCTCTTGCATTGTGTTATTTAGCTTGTTCTTCAGTCTTGGTATGTGTTGCACTGCTATAGCTGAAGGATGTCCTAGTTTTAAGTGCCACAACTCAGCTTCATATGCACCTTTTATTACAGCTGCTCCTACTGTAGGCTTTACTTCTCTTTGCAATATGTAGAGTCCATTATTTTCTCCACCAATCCCCATTACCTTGTCATTGTAAAGTCCCTGAAACACACAAAATTTAAGGAAGAAAAGTGACCTTGCAAAGCAATTCCTTGGTTAGCTTTGACACTAAAAGCAAATTAAATTTGAAGTCTGGCACGTGCAACACATTGGTGATTTTATGATTTCCTAGTACCATTGTACTTCCTGCACTAGATGTAGATGACTCATTTCCAGTTGGTACTTGTACTCTACTGTTGTGACTCTTTTCTAAGCAGGGTGTAATGTCGTGTGATGCCCCTGAGTCTATTATCCATTCATAATTATAAGTCTCAGAAAGTAATGTAATAGTACATGCCACCATGTTCGAGCTGCAATCACCTGGTGGAGGTTTGTTAAGCAAGCTCATGAGTTGTGAATACTCTTCCTCAGTAAAAGAAATGTCCCTGCACCTGATCCTCTGCTGCTGCACTATTGATACTTTGCCTAGAGCCTCCTCCAATCTGTGTTCTGCTGCTAGACTGTCCAAGAGCGCTCCACCAGATTGACCACCTTTCTTCTTACTTTTAAAGTTTGGGGGTACCCTACAATCTTATAGCAATTTTCCTTCAAGTGGCCTTTATAGCCACAATATTCACATATCATCCCTGGTCCTCTTGGTCTGAACCCTTGCGTTTTTTCTGCTAACATAGTTAATGGATCTTTGTGAGTATCCACAACACCAAGCGATCCCTGGCTCTCTTCCTGTGTGACAATAGCATAAGCTTCATTTACTGTCACCACTGGTCTCCTAGCAAGTATATTGCTTCTTACGTTGCTGTAACTTTCATTCAATCCCATAAGAAATTGCAGAAAACATTGTGACTTCAAGAGTTCAATAGATGGCCTTGCTTCCTCACAATCACAGCACGATAAAGGAGCTAACACATCCAATTCGTCCCATAGATCCTTCATTTTTGTGTAGTAACTCGTTATTGAGTCTGTTCCTTGCCTCATTGTTGCTATCTCAGTCCAGAGATGATAAATTCTCATCAGATTTGAGCGATCAAATCTCTCATGAAAATTATTCCACACTTTCCTCGCATCTGATGCATAGACAATATTTGGCATTAATTCATTCGAAACAGTGCTTCCTATCCATGATAACACTATTGCGTTGCATTTTTCCCATTGTTCAACCAATTCCCCTTTGTACCTGCTTTTACACACGATCCATCCACAAAACCAAGTTTGCTCTTTCCTCGCAAGGCCAATTTCATTGCTCTGCTCCACAAGGCATAATTTTCTGGCCCTGTGAGCTTGATTAGAATTAAAACCAGCCCTGAAGTGTCTCCAACTTGAAGGTATAATGGATGATTGTGATCAAGTGAACTTACTTCATTTTCTTCCATGTTTGCCTCTTCCAGCTCGAAATCGTTCTAATTCAGTCGGAGCTTTACGCCGGAGTTCACGCCTCACGATCGCCGCTCTGATACCATGTTAAATTGGGGATTAATTATGTGAATCTTAGTCAATTTACAGAGATGAGAAGCTAGGGCTCATCTATGGAGAAAGAATATTCTTGAATCTAGAGAGGGAATAATGAAGAAGAAGATTTGTTTTCTCTCTCTTGCATTACAAAAATACAAGTCTGTAGACTTTATACAAATACCCTGGTGGAGTCGCGTGCACATCATGTGCTGCTCACTAACCAACTCCCTAACAGCCTTAACTAACTACACTAATAATAATTAACTAATATAACTGACTAACTAATCTTTACTCTGTTTTAATATAAAATAATAGGAGAAGTTGTTTAGACACTAATATCATCAACGTATATTTCATTACTTGGCAGCAATTAGTAAGAAATTTGGACAGGTCTTGTTTCTTTGAGTTTTCTTGCTGAGAAACACAAGTGAGGTTAATCATGTCCTTATATTTTTGTTCTAGCTAGGTATGTGATAGATGAAACGGGTGTGCTTTTGCCTGTTTCTCAATCCAAGTGTGTTGTGATCATTACTGTCACGAGCCAAAAATCCCACCACAGGCGTCATGATGATACTTAGTCTCTAAGACTAGGTAAGCCGATTTTAATTACATTTTATAGCCTTTTTTTTTGAATTAAATAAGTAATCAAAACCAACAGCGGAACAAATATGAATATAAAACCTCCCAAGACTGGTAGTACAGAGCCACGAACTCTAACTGAATACATGGAATGGTCACGAGGACCGAATATACAATACTGTTGGATTACAAATTAACAGTACAATGAAATAAAAAATACTCCAAGGGACTATGACGACCAAGCAGCTCTACCTTGAAGCCTTACGATCCCGCTTTATCTCTGCTCAAGTCCGATATCTTCAATACCTGGCTCTGCATAAAAATGTGCAGAAGTGTAGTATGAGTACACCACGGCCGGTACCCAGTAAGTATCAAGACTAACCTCGGTGGAATAGAGACGAGGTACAGTCAAGACACTCACTAGTCTAATAACCTGTGTAATATAATATACAAAATAATAATAAATAGATAACAATACGGGCAACATAAAATAACCAGTGGTATGCACAGTTAGACAATAAAATCCACATTAATATCGCTCAACAATTGATAAATACAGTTACACCGAGTTAAATCAAGTTCTTCAATTACATAACTTTCGCATATAATTCTTACGAATAAAACACTTTTTCAAATATACTTTTCTCAAATAATTATCTATCAAATATAATTCTTTCATATAATACTTTCTAAATAAGAATCCTTCCAAATAAATATTTTGAATATAATTCTTTCAATTAAAAAGTCACCATGTGACACCTCATTTCATAATCATAAAAATACGGGTCTCGGCCCATTTTCATATTTTTTGTAAACACGGGTCTCAGCCCATTTTTCATATTTTTACAGCACCTCGTGCCCATAATTAAATCATCATATTTCCCAGGCACCTCGTACCCTCATTTCATATCACAACTGGACGGACAATTCACGTGCTAAATATCATTATCAATGCATATAAGATCTACACAATCAATTTATTTCCGATAGTGAGTTTAAAATTTTTAAATCAAGTAAGAAAATCAACAAAGAAATGAATTTATTTTAGAAATCATTTGGGTGAATAAAATAATATTTCAATTAAAATGAAGCACCCGATAGTTGATGATATGGATGTAAAACTTATAAGAACTAAAGCACACAATAATTTCTTTTATTCAAAACAACTTAACCTTGAAAACTAATAAAGACTAGAACCACAAATCCTCAGAGTCTCGTACAAGATCCAAAGCCAACACATTACAACAAGGGATACAAACACATAATAGAATCAAATATTACATCACAGAAGAACACCACAATTTACTGTCACAACCCAAACTGATCTCTGTCATGATGGCGCCTATCGTGGAACTAGGTAAGCCGACTCATTTCCAAAACAAACCGATATTTTCATTTCAAAAAAAATTTCAAGATTATTTAACATAAAACCTCCATTTAAATAGTTCAAATCAAAGAAAAACAGAAGTGCGGAAAAGAAAAGCCCGACATCGGGGTGTCACTAGTCATGAGCATCTAATACCATCTGTCTAACAATATCAAGGCTAACTCAGCCTGGAAAATAGCTAAATACAACTAGAGGAAGATAAGAGGGAGAAGAGCAGGGGCTGTGATCGCCAAACAGCTACCTTGCTATCTCCAAGAAAACTCTGCAACCAGAACACTCAATAACCGCAACCGTGTCTATCTACACCTGAATCTGCACACAAGGTGCAGGGAGTAATGTGAGTACACCAACTCAGTAAGTAACAATAATAAATAAAGACCGAGCAGTAGTGACAAGCAATAAAGCATATAACGTTCATATCATGAAATCTCAGTAAAGTACAACGTGCTTTAAAAATCAGTGTTTGAATCAAATCATCTCGTTTAAACCCGGTTCCAGTAAAAATCATTTAAAGATATTTTTCCAACAGTTTTTCAAACAAAGGCTCAATGCAAAGGTGAGCAAAAATGATGAAATCATAAACAGCCCCCCGGGCATAACATCACTCATATACAGCCCCTCGGGCAAACCTCACAGTCACTCTTGCCACTCGGGCATACCTCAAATCACTCTTGCCACTCGGGTATACCTCACAATCACTCTTGCCACTCGGGCATACCTCACAATCGCTCATGCCTCCTAGTCACTCAACACTCGG